GATAGATAGATAGATAGATAGATAGATAGATAGATAGATAGATAGATCAAAATGAGCAAAATGTTAAATCCATGATTATTGATTTTGAAATGATTTCTAACAACAACAAAAAAAAGCTAGATATTACCTCTTTTGCATGTTTAAGCATTAAATAAAAACTTGTGGAAAAGGCCTGATTTATAACCCCAACTATGCAAAGATTGAGGCATTAAGTAAAAGTATGACAAAATGTAATGATTTGCAAATATAGACCCTTGTTTTAAGAAAGAATATCAACCTATTAAACCTGGTCCTCAGGGGGCATTAAACTGCGTGTTTAAAGTATTTCTCCGCTCCAATACACCTGCTTTGAATCAATATGTGATTAACTGGCCTCTGCAGAACTTGAGGTGATTCAGTTACTGAATCAGGTGTGTTGAAGCAGGGAAACAAGTAAAGCATGCAGGATAGTGGCCCTTGAGGATCTGGATTGAACATTTAAACTAAAAATTGGACAATTTTTAGAAAATAATAATAATAATGATGATGAATTTTGTGGCAACAACACATCTAAAACACATATTGCCCATCTTTAGAAGTAAAGATGGGCAGAGGTTCACCAGTTAAGGGAAATTTGCATCTAAAAATAGTAGAACAGTTTAAAAATATTGCCTCTTTGTCAAAAATTGGTAAATTTTTCAATGTCTTATCATCGTTCTCTCTTTCACTTCTCCCTCCTGCTTTTTTGCTCTCTTGTCCTGCGAACCTCCTCAGAGCTTCTCTTTACACATCTTCTGAATCGAATATGATTATGTATCTGGTCAGCTGGTCTCTCAACGCAACTGATAAAAAAAATTTCTAGGAGAACCCTCATGCCCTGAAGGGACACACGCAGCTGGATATGTCATGGATTCCTGGGGTGTTTGGAAGATGATGTGCCTGTCTGTGCTGTCTGTTGAGGACGTAGAAGATGTGAACATAATTGGATTGATAACAAGGTTTCTATTTTTTGGAATTGGCGGATATCTGGGTTATCAGTTAATAAGGAAGATGTCGGCAACAGTTTTGGCAATAGTAAAGCTGCCAGCCATATATGAAGAATTACTCCGTGCTTCAAGCTCTCAGACTAATATGCTTTGCGAGCTCAAACGCAAGCTGGATGCGATTTCTGAGACTCGTAGGACATTTGCAGCTCCAAGAACTCGCTGGCATGAAGGAGTCGACTTTGAAGAAGGCAAACAAGCACGGACCAGAGGAATGTCCACAAATCTGGCTGTTGGGATTCACCATTGAGTGTACCAGCAGAACTTGAAGGCAGACAGAAAACAGAGTCTGGCAGCCCAAATAATTGATTTATCTGAATTTGACGTCCCCGCTGGTCTTGGACAAGCATAACCTATTTCAAATTGCTCCTGGAGGATACGTAAACTAGAAGCTCCGCCTGCTCTTCCCTGCCCCGAGGACATCTGTGGGCCTTATCAGAACCATGGTGCTGATAGACACTGTACCATCTTATCAGAACTTTGGAACTTTCTAAAGTGTCCATGAACAACTCACCACCTTTGTTGACCTTCAATGCATAAGTGTATTATGATGCCATTGTATGTTGCTGTTTATATTGCAATGTCTTTTTGCATGTTTTACACTGTGCCAGGACTTGGTGTGAGACATGACTTTTTAAACTTCCTCCACCCTCGTGTTCTCTTTTCCTCATCTACTCTGTATGTTGTATGTAACAGGTCTCTTGGGAATGAGTCCCTGAGGCTCATTGGGAACTAACCTGTACAAATAAAGGTTGAATGAATGAAAAATCTACATTTGGCCTTGAGCCATAATAGATGTTTTTAAAGGCATTGTGTAAAATGTTTGACTGTTTTTTTTTCTTTTAATTATACTGCAAAGGTGTTCATTTATAATAAACTTGCTTGTCAGTGTTTGAAGCAGGAAACTTTTATGGAAAAGCGAAGTAACGAATTGGACCAAAGTTCAACGTTGCCAGAGTTTGTCGGGTGTCGAAGCCCACTGTCACACAACCGATGAAGCGTCCTCTAACTGAAACAAACCCTCGTGAACACGGCGTGCGTGTGGCAGTGCTCAAGAACATTTTCTGCTAATCTGTTTCAGTGTAATGTGGCAAATTTATGCTTTTCTCTCTAAAAAAAAAAATAAAAAATCACCATCCACTTCACTGGCACTTCCTCTTTTCTTTTTAATAAGCACATCTTTTCCAGACTGAAGGCTCAGACTGTTTGTTTATTTCCTCAGTAAGTTTCACCGCTGATACCTTCACAGAATCAGCAAGTGCAAGTTATTGAATTTGAGGCAAATAACCTTGCAATAATAGAGCCTAAATTCTTCACAGAAGAGGCTGATAAATATGCATGTTGACTGAAGACGCAGAGCAGCTCCTGAAAGTGCTGTCCTTGTCACAAAATGAAACGTCCCATCTAAAGGTCACAAAGTGAGTGTCATTCTAAAGAGCCATCTGTTGGTAATAGATGGAACAGGGGTGTTACTGTCGACCACAGAAGGTTGTGCCAATAAACGCTGCCTCTTTGATTCATGGCTAAACAACAAATGTTTGCAAGTATCTGTGGGAAGACGCCAAACCCAAGGACAACAGTTGACAAAACTATTAGATTCAGCTAAATAATCAGAACTCGACAAGCTGTGGTGCGCAATAGATTGATTTTAATTTGTAAGAGATAAAACAAAGCTTTTTTTTATTTATTTATGCTCATTTTGACAAATAATTATGTTCACAAATCCTAAAAGTGAAGCAAATTTTATTTTGCCAATGCATTTTAAGTAAAGGTAACCCGTTCTGCCTGTTTAGAGTGCAACCATAAAATCTGTATATATGTGATTAATTTTGTCACAAAATATGAGTTTTTAACAAGAATGATATATTGATTAAACTGATCAGTTTGTAGAACTAAAAAGCACTCGACTGCCACAGATGTTGTCGATAAGCTACAGCAGGAGTCACCCATAAAAGAGGTCCAAAGTTTTCTAAGCATAACCGTCATGTTTAATAAATAATTTTCTTCAATTTGTCTCTTTGATGCAATGGAAATATTTGTGTAACATAAATACTTAAGACCTGTTCTTTAATAGCGTTAATACAATAAATATACTTTTAAACATGGTGTATTTTTCATTCAAGACACACTTCATTAACTTTTTTTTTTTATTATTATTTCAACTTCCAAAAATTACAATTGTGAGAAAATTAGCAGTTTCAAAAAGTACTATAAAACTTTACCTATTTACATAATGAGCATAAATGTGTTGCCACTTCTTCAAGTGATCACATAAAACTGAACAGAATCATAACAGCAGTAGTCAAACCAAGTAACAGGGCTTAGTTTGTAAACCGACCAATGCCAGAACGCAAATAGCGGGCGGGTGGTGTGGGGGGTCTGGGGGGGTCCTCCCCCAGAAAATTTTGAATAAAGTAGATGTGATTTCCTGAGAACCACTGGTGTAGAGGTAGGGCAGCCGATCTGGGACTAGAAAGTCACAGGTTCAACTCCCTGCCCTGCTCACATGTCGTGATGTCCTTGAGCAATCTGAAGCTCTCAACCTTGACCTCTCTAAGTGGCTTTAAGAATCTGTTGGACTCCTGGCAAGGACCAATGCAGACATGTTCCTGTTTTTAGTTTTCTACATTCGCCTTAGAATCTAGCTGTTTTTGTTACTTTTTTCCCCATCTTATTTGTAAAAAAAAAAATACTGTATGACTTTTTATAACTGTCTGTTGTTGCCGCTGTTGTTCATTGTCGTCATCATTCTTTGTTGAAATCAGGTCTCTCTTGTAAATGAGTCGTCGAGGCTCAATGGGATTAACCTGTCTAAATAAAGGTTGAATGAAAAAAGATACCCAATCCCTAACTGCTTCCTGGGCGTTTACATAGCTCCCCACTGCTCCACCTGGGTGCATCTCACGTGTGATGGGTTAAATGCAGAGAACTAATGTCATCATTTTATGGGAAAATACAATGATGACAACACATGTAGTGCTTACGATGGTCACAAACTCTGGAAAGGGCTACACATGGTCAAACTGATTTCTCTGAACAGCGTAGCGCCCACTCCCCATTAATCCAACATACTTTGGGGGTTAAACATCATTATTATAATTGAGTCATTTTAAATGCTGAAAAGGAGCAAGATTTTTTTCACTTTTTTAGACTTTTGAAACTGACATTTCTCTTTTCCATGTTTTGTCAGTTATATAAATTAGTTATGTTGTTATCTGCAGGTGGCATTTGCTGTGCTTTTTTCTTCTGTTAACTAAAACAATTTCCCCTCAGTTTTCATTTTAGAATGGAGGTTTTGTGATTGTGTCTAAATCACCGTGCAGGGATGTTAATGAGAGTGAATATGAGAACATGTGAAAACTCCAACCACAAAATGCGTTACAAAAATAAAATTCTTCAAAACAAAACAAATAAAAGTTGACAGGGATATGATTTTGGGTTTGATATCTTTAATGTACACGTTTAGGCATAACAAGCTGCAATATATGA